CTATCGTTTGTTATAAATTTAATTTAACACAATACTCAAAAAAAAAAAAAACTATTCTCCAATGTAATAATAAATTATCAAAATTATTTATTGAAAAATATTTCTCATATCATTAAAAACTATTAATTGAATTAATAATTTATTTATTAACAAAATGGTTAATTGAAAAATATATTTAATATCATTAAAAATTATTAATTTACTTAATGATTACTTATTAATAAAATTAGCTATTTGTTATTCAAGTATGATTTATGTATCAATAAAATTAACCACTTGTATATAAATGTTTTCTTCTGTTTCTTTATTAATTCAATTAATTATCTTAGTAGTTTTTTTTTAGATGGAGGAATTACCTTAAATATTTATTTAATATTTATTATTAAGAAAGGTTACACGCGTAATTTTATTTTTTTAAATTATAATTTTTTTTATAAATTCACTAAAATGACATGGTAGTAGAATTGAAATCTACATCATTAAGTGTATAACAAATCAAAAAATAATACATATCATACCATATAATTCTATCATATATTTAATGATTTATTCTATGTAATTTCATACAACAATATTCTAACTTTTAAAAAAATTTATCAAAATATAAAATTTAAATATACTGTACTAATAGCGCGTGCCTTGCACGAGCCATTGTAAACTAAATATATATATCCATCAATTTGCAAATCGTGTCTCCACATCTCATTCTCAAGCTCTCTGTCTCCCTTTCTTTTACTTTTGGCTCTCTCTCTCTTCTCTTCAAATGTGATAAAACTTTAAGTTTTAGTTTTGAAAATATGTAATGGATAGCAGTGAATGAAAAGTAAAAGTTTAGAATTAATATTAAGATAAGTTATATTATATTTTGAGTAATCATAAAATTTATTATTATTTTATTGCAAATCATACTTTTTTAAATTATGTTACCATCACAATTATGTTATTTATTTTTATAAACCCTGTTCGCTTAAAAATGAAAATCCATGAATATAACTGTCTATTAAATATTTTTTGAATAATTGTTTTTGTAAGTGCCACCACATAAGTCCCATGTTTTAGAGGGCTTAAACGTCTTTTGGCCCTCTGATTAGTTACTTTAGTGACCGTTTGGCGGTCTCAATACTTTGGGGAGACTTAAATAACCACTAGCTCTCTGATTGTCACTTTGTGGCCCTCCGCCTATCATAGATCCATTGACCTCCGTTCTGTTCTGTATCAATGGTTATGGTTATTTCGCTTATATAATTTCTATATTATAGGGTCTATTATTTAAAATAATTTATTTATTCAAACCGAACTATTCATTGTTCAACCTAAATAATTATCTATGGTGATTTGTGTGCTCTTATGCTCTTAATAATATATTCATTACCCTTGCTATGTGTTTATAACTGTTAAACCCTTTCAGGTGAAGTAGCAGGACCAGTGGAAGGGATAGACACAATGCACTTTGTAAATATAGTCTAACTTTGGCAATGTTAGAGCTTGTTTGGGTGTGCTATATAAGCACACATTTTATTTTTTTTTATCTTTTTTTGGGTCACATCCCATTTCTATTTTTTTGCACATATTTTCGTAAAAATTCAAAAAATGCACTTATTTTAGATCATTCAAATAAAAGCTACAATGTATATTTTTAATTAAATAAATATTTGGGTACCCTTTTATTTTATTCCATTGTATTATTAATTGGTTATGGCCTCAGATTTTGTCTTGTTATGACACTTAACCTATAGGTATTGGGTTTGGGTTGTGACATATTAGCCATGGTGGCATATGCTCATTATAACTGTGTATCTCGCATTCTCTCTACAATTGTTTTCGTGATTCTAGCGATGGGGATCAGCTAAAGGTGGCATTTTGCACATGCATGTTGGTTTCACAACTTCCATGTTTGCTGATGGGTATGGCCCATCAGTTCGGCTCAGCTTAGTACCTCGTCTAGACTAGTCCTATCATTATGAGCTTGTCCCAAGTGTTTGGGACTTGAGACGGATTATCCATAATGGAGTTGGACTTCAAATATATTTGGCTCACGTAAGTATTGTCCCATGTTAGATGGTTATTCTGGGTTTGTGGCCGGTCCAATAATTTGAACCTGCTTCAAATTTATATTTAGTCCCTTCGAAATATTTTATAAAATTGTTTCCAACGGTGTAATTCGGACTCACTTTCAGCAAGGTTTAGAACAATAACACCACCAACAGTTATTTTCTTCGGATAGTTCTTATGAAATACAATACATTGGTGATGATTAAATAAACAAACCAAATTAACCAATGCCGAAGATTGATGATCAATGATTTTCTGAATTTTTGGTAAAAAGAGTTCGGAAAATTTTTGTTCTTTTGGACTATATTTCGACATCTGAGATAATGTGTAAACATGCTCTGATACCACTGAAAGATAAACTTAACAATGGCAATGGATCGAAGTTCCCGTGAGGGTGTTTAATCACGCAAAAGAATACAATCTGGAAGAGGAAAAATTGAGAGAAGTTCAAGTTCTTTGAACCTATGCATTGTCCACATACATATAGAGCATATGGTGGCTGTTAATTAATGGTTGCAACTTATTGAACTCAAACCCAATGATCACCTTGTTACTAAACCATTGTGACTCTTCATTCAAATCTTAAACTTCCTACTTCCAGTAACTTCTTCCTGTGGGAAGATTGAATCACCAAATAAGGATTTGATTTGATGTGAGAGGTTCCACCATATTATGGTGTGATCACCTCTCATACCTTCAATAACGACAGTTATATAGGGACCAAGGTGGAATTTGACCAGAAGTGCACGAGGTTGACTATCGTGATTGTATCATATGTAGGGGCCAAAGTGAGATTTGGTGCAAAGTACAGAGGTGCAAAGTGTAATTTACCTAAAATAATTGAAGCCTTGGAAAGTTTGGATTATGTAGAGTAAGAAGAAAAAGAAGAAGACGCGTTAGAATTGGCTCTAGAAAATAATAAGGGAATAACATAAGAAGAAATAAAAATAGAAGACTGATATTATAGCGATACTAATGAAGAACAAATAGTTGCCTTTGCCATTGCATCATCTTCTATCCATTTATTTTGGAACCAATTAGAATCATCATCTGGTTTAGAAGTGGATAAAGTATGCAATGTTTTCTCATGTGTAAGAAGATAAGAAATGTGGCGTTTCCATGCTCGGAAATTATTCCCATTAAGCATCTCGATTCTTGAAGAATCCATTGTATTTTTAATAGCCATATTAAAAATAAAATGTGATACTATGAAAATTCAAATGTGAATATGAAACTTTCAAATGTGAATATTACAATATTAAATGAAAAATAAAAATAAGCAAGATTAAAGACAACAGCATGTCTTAATAAAGATAAGCCTTGTAGTTGCTGAAGCGGCCCCGATGATGAAAATGATGCGAAGAAATGGAACGGTACTGTTGCCTTGTAGTTGTGGACCCAAAACTGTGCTTATGAGTATTGTAATAACAGTTACGAGCCCAAGGAACACAATGGTGCCTTTTAAATAATAGTTTTTTGGATGTTTTCCTTGGTAACACCCTTGGATAGCCCCCTCCTTGAATTTTGTTTTCAGAAAATTTAGTACAACGATCCACGAAAAAATTCTTAGAAGAATTCTGGAAATTTTGGCTTTTGAATGACTGAAAACGGCCTTGAAATGAGTGAGAACGAGCCAAAAAATCCCTTGAACCAATCTGTCGATTCAATGTTGTGGCTGAACCGGCTTGAACAAGCTTGAACCGCTGGTCAACGCGCGGAGCAGGGCGCGGGTCAGTACGTGGGTCAAGCGAAGCAGACGGACGCGGGTCCGGGCGTGGGGCGCGAAGCGTTGGGGTGGCGCGCGGGGCTGAGCGCACGCTGGACTGCAGCGTTGGGTTGTTGTGCTGCGTGGCTAGGCTAGGTGACCCTTGAGGCTGTGGGCTACTAGGCTCCTTCTGACTAACTTGGGCTGATGGCTGAAGTGGCCCAAAAATTTTCTTTTTAATTTTTAGGCCCAAGGAAACACTCTTCCTTGCTGTTAGTCTAATTTTTTGGCCCCTTTTAATTGGTTTTATTGTTGGCCCACAGTTTTGAATTTCAACAGAATCTGCAACAGTATTAATACACAGGTTGTCTTCTCTGGTAACGAGAGTCGGCGACCACAGACTGAAACTCAAATTTTGTGGATCAAATTTTTTCCGTTTTTCACAACGAATTTCACCGTTGTGATTAAAATTCTGTGAAGAACAAGATGGAGCCAATTTGGAGACCCAATTTGAACCGAAAAATATTTTATAAAATTGTTTCCAACGGTGTAATTCGGCTTCGCTTTCGGCAAGGTTTGGAACAATAGCACCACCAATTGTTATCTTCTTCGAATAGTATTCTGGAAATACAACACGTTGGTGATGATTAAATAAATAAACAGTATTCACCAATGCCGAAGATTGTTGATCAATAATTTTCTGAATTTTTGGCAAAAAGAGTTCGGAAACTTTTTTCTCTTTCGAACTGTATTTTGACATTTGTGATAATGTGTAAACTTGCTCTGATACCATTGTAAGACAAACTTAACAATGGTAATGATCGATTAGCCCGTGAGGGTGTTTATCACACAGAGAAAAATACAATCCAGATATATGAAATTCGGGGAGTAAGAAAATGAAGTGAAGTAACCATTGTAGTGAGGCCATCTATTTATAGTTTACATGGTGGCCATTGATCAGTAGTTGCATGCATTCAAACTCAAATCAGAGTTGTATTTCTTCCTGCGGGAAGGTTTTATATTACCACCAATTGGGTTATGATATAGTATGAGGCAACCCACCATATTATGGTGTGAGCACTCTCATACCTTCCGGAATTAAATTTACAATTCAAAGGACTTTATTAGAATCATTTTCAAAGTATTTGATCCGCTATCATGTGACAAAATACTAGACAACATTCAAAAGTATTTCAATTATAAGATCACATTTTCAAAGGAAAGATGAAAAAAAAAAATTCAATTAAATTACAATCAGAGCCACAATTGCCACCAATATAGCTAATAGTTGCTGACATCCAATCTTTCTTAATCCATTTGATGAATTACTAGAATCACTAGAGATTGAAGATTGAGATGGCGCTCCATTTGGTGAGTCATTGGCAATCGAGAATTGAGAAGGTGTTGCATATGGTGAGCCATTTGTAGCTTGAGATTGAGAAGGTGCTACATATGGTGAACCATTTGTAGTTGGAGATTGAGAAGGTGCTGTATATGGTGAGCCATTTGCACCAAAGGATTGAGAATAAGTCTTTTCCCCGTGGGTTGGCCCTTGTGTGTCTCCTTGTTTCACGTCTACTGAGAGCTTTTGGCCACCTTTCTCGCAATGCAACCCTACACCGCAAACAAAATATTTTGGTCCCGGGGTTTCAAGAGTAATTGTATCCTCTCCTGAATCTAGTACTCCATTTTGTGGAATAATGCAATTTTTGTAACCATATTCGTCCACAGGATACACATTGTGAAGTCCAATAGTATACTTGAAAACTGTATAACCAAAAAAAAAAAAAATTTTGGTCCCGGGGTTTCAAGAGTAATTGTATCCTCTCCTGAATCTAGTACTCCATTTTGTGGAATAATGCAATTTTTGTAACCATATTCGTCCACAGGATACACATTGTGAAGTCCAATAGTATACTTGAAAACTGTAAAACCAAAAAATGTAACACTAAAAAAAAAAAGAATGTGAGAAAAAAAAAAAAAAAAATGTCAATTAAAATGTAATCAACTTATCATTACAGCTTTGATAAATAAAAACTCGAAAACATGAGTATTTGATCCAATTGCACATATATATACATATATATTGAGTAATCTAAAATTTTGTGTTTAAACCAAACATGTTGATCATATCATGAAGATTTATCAAGTTATATTACCGAGTTTGTCTCCAATCCGAAATTCCTTGCCCTTGACCCAACCTTCGTAATCGCCCGTTGTTGTCCATCCAGCTTCATCACCGACTATGAACTCTTTAGCTAAAGTGACCGATGGAAAAACAATAGCGACGACGAAAAAAGTGAGTAAGTATTGTTTGTCCATTGAGTTATTGTCGTAATGTAATGTAAGAAAATAGATATGATTCTTTTTTTATTTTTTTTGTGTTGCAAGATTCAATTTATTGAGGAATGAATGAAGAAATTAACAAGGGGGTTATTTATAGAGTTTTTCTATGGAAGGTTTGGAGAACAAGTAACAAAATAGTATGTATGAATTGTCTAGGGATGACCAAAAAAGGAATATGCAACATTCACAAGAATTAAAAAAATGTGAGGTGTCTTACTATTTTTGGTGAATTGTGGTCTTGGGACATATTTTGTAATATATTTAGGCAACAAGACTGTAGTTTCAAATCAGTTAATATTTTTGATTGTTGTGACCAAGTCTTTGTTGTATTTTTAGTTAAAATATTTCAAAATACAACATACGAAATTAATTTAGTTATAATTGTAAATTTTATAATGAATTTTCTTCAATTGGAAATCATATTTGTCCATTAGTATTGAATTAGGGATTTAAAATCTAATTATGGCTTTTTGATGCACTAGCCGTTGGTATTTTTTGATTGACTCTTCTCATTGAAAGTGGGTTTGATCAGAAAGTCTTCTATCTTCACAAGACTATAGTCTAGTTTGATACTTGGGTAGATCACAGAACTGTTTCTCGATCGCATTGTGAATACACGCTTGTAAAGAAGCGACAATTGAATTTTATTAGATTTTAATACTTTGTGATGGAATTATAAAAATATAAATCGCTTCTTATAGTTATAAAAATTACATTCTATTCCTTGAGATTTCTAATTTCATAATAAATCGTCATTTTATTATTAAATCATCAAGTCAATTAATAATTTTTAATGAAATTAAAAATATATTTCAATCGATAATTTAAATAATTTTATTATTATATAAGAGAGCAATTATAAGTTAATTCTGCTAAATAAAAAATTATGATAAAAAAATATTTGTAATTTTTCAAATCACAAGAGATAATTTGTATTTTGAACAAACCTTAAGAAATGTATTTATAATTTACCCAATTATATTTGATAGAAACGAACTGTAAATTTGAACGAACTAGCATTAACATCTGATCTTAATTAATACATGTAATTTATGAACTATATGTATCCAGAGCATGGATAGAAATTCTAATTGTCCACGATTTTTTACAACAATATGCTAGATGGGGCATGAGAAAGATGATTACGTAGTGCTGTTAGGACACTATCTGTTTGTGCTCTTCACCAATCAATATACACTATGGTCATGTTTGTTTGGGTGGACATGAGCTTGGGATTGGACTAATAGTTCAATAAAATTATTAATCCGATATTTGGTTAAGCAATTGAAGTACGGACTAATTATTTTAAACTTGACTATTAGTTAAGATAGAATACATAATGTAACGGATTCGTAGTCCTAGGACTATTAATCATGAAAATGCTAATCCAATCCGCCCAAACAAACATGACCTATGTTTCTTGTTATTCCCTAATCATCCAACACAAAGCCGGAAGTCCACCTCCTCCACCAATTACATATTTCTAAAGCACCACGTGACTGTGTCCTAAACCACCAAATCAATTCGAGAGAGATTATCATTAACATTTCTGAACAAGTAGACATGTTGACATTCCTTGTTTTTGCTCCATACACTACAACCCCCCTAACTCTTCCCTCACGGGGAGAGAGGACATAAACAACTCTCAAACATCACAACACCACAATGCACTCTTCCAACCCCCATAAATTAGAATTATATTTGAAAATAACAAAAACAAGAAAAACAGAAAACAAAAAGAGGAGAGTAAACAAGGACGAGGGGAAGAAACAGACAATACAACCAACCCAAAAGCCTATGGTTTATCATTGGGTTTTGGCGAATTTTGTGGAAACTTATTATACGGCGAAGCTTGAGAACCGTTTGGAATCGAGAGGCTCCTCGGATGTTGCTGCCCGTTCCTCGAAAACGACCCAACATGCGTTCTTAAACCGTTTCTAGCATTGGGACTTGAACGGTCAGCCTGCATTGTCTGGAAGTAATATGATGAGCTGGCCATGTCCTTGAGGTTTGGCAGAGGCTTTAACGCTTCGACAACTTCACTCATCAGAGGTCGGGCTTTTGGGTCCCGGCTAAGGCAGCGAGCAGCCAACTGTGCGGCTTTTTGGGCACCTTTTATCGAGAAGTGGCCTTCGAGCCGGGGGTCTATCAGTCTGTAAAACTTTCTTCTCTCTCCTAGGTGTGGCCTCGCCCACTCCACTAGATTGTGTTCTCCGTTGGGGCGGTTTTTGTCCATTGATCTTCTGCCAGTTAACATTTCAAGCAGAACCACACCGAAGCTGTAAACGTCACTCCTTGATGTAAGATGCCCTGACACAAAAATAAGAGAAGATCAGAATGAAGTGTCTCGAATCATGAGCTATGTATTAATGACATTCATGAATTTTTAAACTGGGAAACACAACAGTTTAAAATTTCCCTCGTTCTTATCCCGTTAAATATGAAGATAGAAGCACAAGACATAATTTAAAATAAGAGAAATTATCTAGTAGATCCGACCTGTAACACCACGTGGTGTGCCCTTCTAAAAGTACAGGACATGTTAGTACTTTGAATCCCATTATTTAGATAAGATATATGTCCTCTCATTGTTGGGTAGACACAAGACAACGTGATAGTCCAGACCTACCAGATAACTACTCCTAAAATACAAGTATGTAATAAACAAACCTACACAAAGGAGACACACCTGTACCCAACGTGTATATATTAGACAATTATCATAGACCAAATTCATTTACCTGTCATCACATATTCAGGAGCTGCATAGCCATAAGTTCCCATCACACGAGTAGAGACATGAGTCTTATCTCCCTCAGGACCATCCTTGGCAAGTCCAAAATCAGAAAGTTTGGCGTTGTAATCCTGGAATGACACTTCATTAGAAAATGAAGAAATCAGGAGAATAAATCTAATCTTTTTCCAGAGATTTTATCACATACTGCATCTATTAGGATATTGGAGGTTTTAAAATCTCGATATATAACTGGCCTTTTTGCTTCCTCGTGAAGAAAAGCAAGGCCCCTTGCAGCACCAAGAGCAACTTTCATCCTGATGGACCATGGAAGAGGTAGGGATCCTGCACGTAATGGTAACTATAAGAGAATATCAAGCAAAGATACTATAAGTCAAACTGTTGATACCAGTACAGATCCAACAATGACTAAACAAATACATAAACAAAATCACACAATTCATAGGCCCGTGTTATTGTTTCCAAAACAACATAATCCACGTTTCTTACATGATAGGAGTAGCAGCTCAAAGTTTTTTGAGTTCCTAGACCAAACATCAAAATGAGGCCCTAGGTCTTAAGTATTTGGACCTATGTCATCTGGAATGTGGATCGTTCCGGTAAGTAAAATAAGAACGGGAACATGGTACATCACATGCTCTAAAATGTGGTACGATAGGGGTAGATTTTTATATATTATACTTAAGAATTTAAAATACTTCTAGAGTATTTTTTTTTTAACTATTAAATATCCAATAAAATGTAATATTTTCTATGAACATTATGACCTATTTTTTGATTTTGTCTTGTCAAAACTTAACTCACCTTAAATTTTAGTTCATTATATTTGAATTCCTAAGGTAACATTTTAAAACATATATTGGAAAAAACTTTTAAGATCATTTTGGATCACTAAATTTACCATTTTGGAACAAAAATATACCATGTTTCGGAACGTGCATACCAATACGTAATTCGCTAGGATATTAGCGTTTTCTGGTAACATAGATTTGGATATATGTTACCTAGAAGGTGGATCATTAAGGTACGGGAATGAGAATGGGAATGGGAATGGGAATGGGAATGGGAATGGGAATGCAGTATGCTACATGCTCTAAATTATGGTACGATAGACGTAGACGTGTATAGTTTATGTTAAAATTTATCACCTACTTCACCCACTTAAACCTACTCCACTAAACCTAACCCACTAAATCCACATACTCTCCACCTACTTCACCCACTTAAACCTACTCCACTAAACCTAACCCACTAAATCCACATATTAACAATTAGACATCCAATAAAATGTAGGCTTTTTTTTTCTTCAAATTAATCATATCACAATACATTTCTAAGAGCATTATGACCCATTTTTGGCGTTTTGTCATGTAAAAACTTCACTCTCCCTTAGATTATTATACTTGATCCTTTTACTCCTAAGAAAACTATAAGGAAATCTATTGGGAAAAACTTTCAAAATTGCTTTGGATTGCTAAATTTATCATTTTCAAACAGAGTATACCATGTTTTGAAACATGCATTTTAAAATGTAATTCGCAAAGATATCAACGTTTTCTGGTAACGCACTAATTCGGACAATTGGGACGCATTCTCTCCTCTTCTCTTCTTCTGTTCCTTCATTCTTTAATTTGGTTTCAGAGTATATGATCAAATCCAATCAAACCTCATACAGACTAAAACTTGCAGAGAATCATCTAGGGACTGCCAGAGAAAGAAACATCAAGGTCTCGTACAGTTTGGCAGTGTCTTCAATTTTTTAATGTTTTTCAGAAATTTGTTCAACTAGGTTTGTTTAGGCTTGTTTGTGATTATAAACTCTGCTAACCCTAAAGTGCAGCTATGTCAGAGGTGCTGATAAAATTATTAGTAGTGAACTGAGTGGGTTGAGCAAGTTGGAGCTCTTGAGAATAACATCACCCTATAGATTAGTCCAGAAAAATTGGATTGGAGCAACTGTTTAGCATGGTCACAACCATGTTTAGGAAAAGAGTTTGTAAGACAAACCAGGAATATCGGTCCCTTGCAATATATTATGCAGAACAGATAACTTTGCGGTAGGAACTTGACTATTATTACTATTTTTCAAGCTGATTGTACAATAGACACAACAAAGTTCCAAAAAATGGGTGGAAAAGCATGTTATGGGTTTCCCATCTTGAGACAGGCCTATGTGTATGTTCAATAGGACGAGAGCAACAAAAATGTTAACCTACAGAAAAAAGTGTGAATATTGCGGAAAGACCCACCATCCTAGAGAGCTGTAAGCCGAATGGTTGCCCCATTCAAGGTTGCAGTAGTAGTCAACGTGGTATTGCTCATTCCCATGCTTACATGTCTGAGACTTCAGAGGCTTCCTCTCAGTCTACTTCTAGTGGCACAACTAGTGAGACTTTCAGTCAGGACAAGACGCAAACTCTTGGCTGGGGTTGATATCACTAAAGAATTGGTTAAAAAAACACTAACAATCCTCGTTGTAAAGGAATTGATCAACCAAATCAACACAACCAAAAGGGAATAATTGGGGATAATCGATCCCATCTCTAGGATAATTTTAATTTCCAAATTCGATCGGAGCATTTTTATCTCCTAAAGGAAGTACAATTTCATCTTCTTGAGAAAACAAGTATGTTAGCTTGTAGACTAACAAATTCACCAATCGAAACTAATCATCCACTTAGCAATGTCATTGGTGACGTAGTGCATAAAGAGAGATACCATAGACTTGTAGGGAGATCGATACATCTCTACCATGCTCAACCTAATATAGCATATACAGTATGAGTTGTTTATCAGTTTATATAGTCCTCATACCACTCACCTAGATGTTGTTGATCATATTCTGAAATATCTCATGTCAACCCCTTAGAAAGGGCTCTTTACATAATAAATGTTGTAAAAAAGTCATTTAATTTGTAGGGGTTGGTTTTAGCTTATTTTTTTAACTCAAGTTAAGCACATTTTATGATTTTCTTATTGTTGAATATGTGATCTCTAAGCATATCCTCTCTTTTTTTAAATCATGTTTAGCAACCATGTTGTTTTCAAAATTCCAATATTTTCAGACTTCTAATTTTAGTTGATTACAACTAAAAAACATGGTTGCCAATCATGTTTTACCCTAGTTTGGTAAACAAGTTAAAAGTGGCTCGAGTTGTTTAAATAAGTTTTTCATAAATAAATAAATAAAATAAAATAAGTGTAAAGTTAACAAGACCAAGAAAAAGAATCTGATCTCCAGCCATTGTCATTCAAGGTTGGATGTATTTACTATGCAGGTTGATCCTTTATATAAGGGAATCTAGTTACTTAGCAAAGCAGAAGCACGTAGTGGTGGCTAGATCCAATGTAGAGGTAGAGTACAGGTACAGGGTTACTTGTCTCACGGAATTTGTGAGTTTATATGTCTTCTTATTTTTAGAACTTTTGGGAATATTTGATGATGGACCTATGAGATTTACTGTGAATCTGTGATAGTAAGGCAGCCATCAACAATACTCATAATGCAAATCAGCATGACAAAACTAAACATATGAGATTGATAGAAATTTTATTGAGGAAAAGTTACACAAGGGCTTTTTTGTATTTAGTAAAGGGCTTAGTAGTAAGGTCTTTCACCCTTTGTTTGCAAGTTTGAAATGAGAAATATCTATGCTCTAACTTGACGGGGAGTATTATTTTGCTATGTTTTATAATTGTTTTCAAAGATAAAGGTACTATTGTAATTTTGGAATTATTTGGTATAAATAAATGGGTGTTGGGATGACTCAATTATAATAAAAAAAAAAAACCCTATTCACCTTATGTTCTCTCCTCTTCTCTTCCTTTATCTTCTCATCTTTTCTTTTCCTTTAGTCTTTAACTCTTATTAGATACGTTTCCCAAAAGTATTCGAAACATTTCCCTTAATTTTTACGAGTGTATCATACCCACAACGGCATTCAAAGATAGTTTCCTGGTAACTATGGAAGATACCACTCAAGTTACAAGCTGGTGGTTGAAAGAAAAGGTTTCAAGTCCACCTAGAAGTAAAAATCAGCTTTCCATTACCTAAATAGAAAAAAAAAATTAAAATAAAAATAAAATCCTAAAATGCTGAACAACTATAATACTAATTTCTACTCCACTTTAATAAGAAATTGGGGTACAAAATATGAAGGGAATACAAGAAGCAATCATATCAAAAGAAAGGCAGAGTCACATACTCCTAAAAAGGTGGTTCTCCAAGCTTCCTCGAGGCATGAACTCATACACTAGCAGCCGTTGATCATCCTCAATGCAGTAACCAACCAGTTTAACCAAATTAGGATGAATGAGGTCGCTGAGAAAACTTACTTCAGCCTGGCCAATGAGATGACACTTGAGAACAGCCAAGAACTAAAAGATGGCAAAGGAAAAAGCAAAATAGAAGAAGAAGAAAGTGATCAACAACTGAAATGCATTAGGAAAGTATCAAACCAGCCATTCTTTATGACCCTGAAGTCCATCATGGTTGAGGGTTTTCACTGCAACGGTAAGTCCTGTGCCGGGTTTCACTGGTGCAGTTCCATTCTCTTCAATCCACCCCTTGAATACACAACCAAAACCACCTTCGCCAAGAAGACTTTCCGGTCTGAAATTTCTCGTTGCGAACTTAAGATCATTAAATGTGAATTTTCGAAGCCGAGAAGAAACTTTGAGTTCCTCTTCAAGTTTGGAGGTGGATGAATTGCTTTCTGCATTACTTGTGGTTGTTGATGGTACTACCAGTGCAATAGGGTCTCTGCTTGTATCATTTGTAGATTTACCTTCTGCTGACACAAACAAGGAAGCAACTTAAAGAAGGTAAGGTATAACCCATCATTACAGCAAAAGCTCTAGTTGGTTGGTCTTACACAGAACTCAAACCTCACTCATTCTGTCACTATGCTGATAGGTTGAAACATATGCGATGATTCCATACACATACAAGATCCAGTTTAGTGGGAAAAAAAATAAATAAAAATAAAAACAAAAATTTGATGGACGAGATGTGTATTACAAGGGTAGCGTCCAGCATAGCCACACCAGAAGTTAACAAAACACCGTAAAAGATTATGCTAAGTGCGGCCACACAAAAACATTTCAACACGACAGAGCCAAGGCCAAAATATGTGTAGCCTATGAAACATGCATTTTACATACCACCTGCTACTGATATATCAAGAACATGATATCTGTATCAATTACAATATGCTAATGGCATGTACCACTGGATGGAAAATTATGCAGATCCTTTCAAACAATAACAAAGTACACAATCTTTGAGTCTGATATCACTGAATTACTAATATCATCAATTTAACTTGCATAAGTGACCTCAGAGGGGGAAAATAGGAAGAAATATGGTTTTCGTTGCAGAAATGTTCAATAAATGAGTGAAATTCTTTAGATTATCCATACTGCCATAGAACAAACTTCCTAATCATGGGTCGAGTGGTATTTCCTCATCTTGCATTCTTTTTCCTATTTGTTTTCTTCTTCTTTCAACTATAAGTTGTTACCACATTCCACCAAACTTGAAGCAATATTTGCACAACCAAGATACTACTACTGATGCTTTCTAACTCAAATTAATAACAAACAGCAGGAGCTAAACAAACAACATATATCCATAAAATATGAACATATAGCAATTACATATAATTCCTTCAGAAAAGCAAATGAAGTAAATTAAACTTGATTGAGACCACAAAATCCATGGCAATAAGAAAGTGCAGTTTTAGCACAACATAAAAACTTTTCAGAGGGAAATAAAGGATTACCACAATGAGTACTGATGCCACTAATAGAGCTATCCACTTTAGATCTTGAGGAAATACAGCTGCCAATAAACCTCAACCTAACCCAACACCCAGTCTCCTCCACAGCATCATTTTTCTTCTTCCTACTCTTTGGTTTGCCCACATCCCAAGACTCTCCCTTTCCTAATCCCATATTTCACAAACCCTATAATCCAACCCAGATATCATCAAAGGTCTCCAAATTCCCCCCTCCTCCCTCTTTCCCCCTCCACAACCCAACTCACAGAAACCCCAAAAACAAAATTTCCTGATAAGCCCTTCAATTTCAGAGCTATTTCCTCAAAGACCTTCAAAAATCAGATGAAACAAATCAAACCCACTTCAGAAAATTTCTCACAGATAACGTCAAAGCCCTTTTCAACCACCTCCTCGCACAACCCAACAAACAAAAGATCCCCCAAATAGTCCTTTTTCGCTTGCAGAGACAAAATAAAAATAAAAATCCTCAGAAACCCACCAAAAATCAGACAAAATAGCACAGACCCAATTGAGAAAATCAAGCAAAGATCACATTAGATACTTGGCAAAAAGCTAAAAGATTCGGATCACATGCTTGGCCTTCACAAAACAACTTGAAGAAACTTAGCTCAAAGCAAACAGTAGAAGCTGTATCAGATAATCTCGGTTCAAAAGCAACCCCAGAAATGTCTGCTGCCTCAAAGATTACTGAAATCTCAACAAAAGACTCGAAGAGGAAGACTAGTTCAAACCTCAAAAAATATATGTATATATATACACATATATATTTTTTTATGCTGAAAAAAAAATGTTCAGGCAACTAAAATAAAACTCATCTGATCTAAATATTTTAATTTATTTTCAATATAAATTATTTACTTATTTTCATAATTAAAATTGATCCAAAAAATAATGTTTTAATTATTATATAAAATGTTTAAAATACTTATTTTTTTATTATTTGTCATAATTTAAAAAAGTTAAAAAGTCAAAAAATCACTATATTATTTAAGTCACATCACATTTCTTTCCCATCACTTCAAACCTAACTCATATTTTATAAAAAAAAATCAAAAAATATATTTATTTAGATCATCTCAAATAGAATTAATTAAAAAAAATTATAATTATTCTCTTATATAATAATAAAATTATTTAAATTATTAATTAAAATATATTTATAACATCATTAAAAATTATTAATTGACTTCATAATTTATTAATGAAATGAATGATTTGGTGTGAAATTAAAAGCTTCAGAAGATGGAATGTAATTTCTAAAACTATAAAATAATTTGTATTTTTATCAAATCTCAAGATGTATTTGTAATTTATTCAAAATTAAAAAATTAAAGTATACCGGAGCTGCCCGGATAATACGGGTAGTGCGTTTTGAGCTGCCCATTATGACCGGGAGACAGCTGACCGTACGACCAGATAATGGGGTATGTTCGGGAAAGCCGAAAAAGTGGAAAAGAGAGCGAGGCAGGCAGAGGGAAGTGGAAAAAAGTGGGCAGTTCGGGCAGATTTTGAGAAGGCGGGCGCGGGACCCATTTCGGTGTGTTTAGCTTGGCGGGACCCACTTAGGTAGTGACGTGTCTAGCTTTGTGGGACCCATTTAGGTGATGATGTGTCCAGCTTTGTTCATGCATCTTCTTCTCTTTTCCATTGATGATTTTTTTTTTTTAATATATACGATAAAGGTCATAAATTTTTTTTAAGAAAAATGCTTGGGAGCACTAATTAGTGCTTCCACTAATTAGGTGGCAGTGAGTCTCGTCATTAATGATGTGATATTTTGATCTTGGAGTTGTATTTTATTTTTATTTTTTTTACTTTTTTAATGCATTAGTGCTATTAGTGGTGATATTTTTAGTGGGATGAATCATTGTTATTTTTTTAATATATACGATAAAGGTCATAAATTTTAAATATTTTATTAAATATCTCATATGGGATCTATATAGAACTTATATGGTATTTGAGTCTCATAATTATATGAGATATTTAATAAAATATTTGAGATCGCTAGTATTTTTTTATATAGGTTTCGTTTGGGAAGAATGGGTTGAGGGGGTTTGGAGTTATTTTAGTCATAAAAAATAAAATAAATTTTTTAGTTTAATAAGACAAAATATCACATTCAACTCATAATTTTACATTCTTTCTCTCACAAACAGTTAAAAAACTTTCCTAAACGAGATTTTTTAACCCTAGGCTAAAATAACTAAAAAATCAAAAAGTTAAAAAGTCAACTCACTACCCAAACAAACCCATACTGATATTTTGAAAAGTTAGTAAAAAATTAATTTTTAAATTTTTTTTGACTTTATTGTGACTTTTTATGTAAAAAAGTTAGCTTTTTTTTAACTTTTTTGTGACTTCTTTTGCGTAAAAAAAACTAAAAAATTAAAAAATTAACTCTTTTAGCTTGTTGCCAAAACACTCCATACTACAAACCACCCTTTAATTTTTTGAAATATAATTATTGACCTTCAATGCTGGAGATAATTATTTATTAATTGCAATTAGCAAGTGTTTATTTAGGATAAATTACAAATCCACCTCTTAACATTTGCTTAAAATATGGATAGTCTTTTGTAATTTGAAAAATTACAAATACCTTGGTTAGAATTTTTTTATTTAACCAAATTAACTAAAAAATAAAATTGTTAACAACTCACCTATATAATGATAAAATTACTTACATTATTAATTGAAATAAATTTTTGACATCATTAAAAATTATTAATTAATTTGATTTTTAAACAAAATTGGTCATTTGTTATGAAATTACAAATTTTAAAGAGTAATATGAAATTTTCACAACCACATAAGACAAATCGTAGTTCAAACAAATCTTAAGAGGTATATTTGTAATTAACTCATTTATTTATTTAATTACTAATAAGATTGGATATATGTATATGAGAATAACATTTGTTGACATGACACATGTTTATATGACTTTCTTTGATTCACAATGATATTGAAAGGTGCTGGCTAATTTAACAAATAGAATTGGATTGGATTTTAATCTTTACAAAAATGAGGAGACTTGTTCAATGTATGTGAAGAATATGAAGATGGCATTTCCATTCCACTGTCAACATAAAAAAAAATTTGAAAATGATCAAGAATATGTTTGAGAATTGTTTTTATTTAAAAAAATTTTGAATTTTAAAAATATACATTTATACCAAATATGTTGTTGAATAAAAAATACAAACACTTTTAGTAAATGCAAATACCGCTAAATATGATCAATTGTTGTAATATTAATGCTATCAATCATATTTGACCACATATGCATTTAGTAAAAGTTTTAATAAGAGTATATATAGACTCACACTATATTATTTGAGAGGGAGATTTATGAGCTGAATTGGGCCGTGGTAATGGTAGAACAAATTGTGGGCCGAACACAATTGGACCGTGGTAGCTTGGGCCTGTCCGAAAAGGTTTTGCTTGATTAAGGCACAAAGCATGTGGAACCGAGCTACTTGGCTTGTTGGTGCGGAAGCCGGTCTACTAGGAGTTCGGCCGAGATGTCTGCCTGTCTCCATGGGTTCCACGGTTCATGCATTAGCTCGGCAGGAAGACCGACGGCTAACCGGCTTGACCTACCTCGAGCTCGGCTTGCCGGAATGCAGCCGAGTTCGGTTGTACAGGAGCTCGGCAAATGGTTCATTAAGGTATGCCGCGCAGCACGGTAAGAAGAAACCGAGGAGGTTCCACCGGTCTGCCGAGCGCCGCCGAGGTATCCTAACAGTTTGGTTAGGTGGTGATTGTTGGATTTGTGCTGACAGATGGGATAGCAGCGCCACGTGTCGAGAGACTAATGGGAGTATATTTGGGGCGCAGAAGGTATATAAGCGAGTCTGCGCCCCCCATGCCTGGACAGATGAACATTTGGTGAGACTTATATTATACACTTAATCCTTTCTCTCTCTCTCTCTCTCTCTCTCTCTCTCTCTCTATCGTGTGTGTGTCTAACTTGATCGTCGGAGGGGTATTCCGGCCACACACCACCGGGTAGCTCACCGCCATTGTGCTTACAGATCGATCGGACAGGCAAGAGCTTGAAAGAAAGGAATACGAGCTTGCCGGAATATTTGCTCCCCGTACATTATTTTTTTCTAATTTTTTTTAATACACGAATAAAAAATCATACATTTTACTGTTTTTTTGTTTTCTCTTTTTACTAAACACTACCTTAAATAATTGGACAATGGTTCTTTACTTCAATCCTCCATCTCCCTTTTTCCATTCTCTCTCATTGGAAGATGAATTGAAAATTCCTAAAGTGGGACATTAGCTTTGTGATTAAAAGTTGATCTATCAATTTGATTATTATTATTATTATGATTACGATGACGTTTTTTTAAATTTGAGAATAGTCACTTTATATAAATAATGTTAAAGATTAAGTTTGTATCCAAATGACTAAAATTAGATATAATTTTTTTTTAAAAAAATCTAAAATTAATTTATATATACTTAGACTAGATCAACTGAAAAAGAGTTATAACCACTCAATCCGATCCATTTCACACCCAGTTTAGAATGTCACCAACCCAATGTTTGGTATCACACATTAAAATTAAATCAACTAGAATTGGTAATACTATGAAGACTGTCATAATAGAAGGAAAATATAATAAAAAACACTAGTATAGTAATCAAATTTTAGCTGCTTTAGGTCTCGTTTGGGAACTCTCCATTTTAGTCAAAAAATTACTAAATTAGTCAAAAAACCAACAATCCATACTAAAAAGTCAAAGATTCTCTTTTCTCTCTACTTTTGCACATCCTTTCATAAAAAGCCAAAAAATTATCTCAAGCATACTAGTTTTTTTTTGCTCATATTTTAGCCAAATAGCCAAAAAGTTACTAAATTAGTTTATTCCCAAACGAGGCCTTAGTTCAGCTATAAGATAAATAAAAAACTAAACTGATCCCTACGGTTCTGAAAATTTAGGAACCAAACCGAATCATAAAATTTTGGTTCAAATTAAAACCGAACCATAAAACATAATTTAGTTTCAATTTGATTACATGGTTCTAAAGTCAGAATATCCTTCACTATATCTAGACTATAGTTCAATAAAAATTAATTCTACCTATGCAAGTATTCAAAAAACTATATAAGCATACTTCAGAATTTTAAAATATTCTCTAAATTAACAATTATAAAATATGTAAAGACAAACAAATTTTCATATATCATAATAATTACTATAAAATTGTAATTTTCAATAATATAAGAAGTGGAAAAATTATGTGCCTAGTGGGAAAAGAAAGCTATACATATTTTTATACCAAAATTATAATAATAATAATTGGTCCATAGAATGAATGAAGGCCTCATCAACATAGGAATGAGATTCAAGTTTTGAGAAGGTAATAAGAAAGTACCTTATAGAACACTACACATAATAAAATTGATAAACATATCAAATAGTTCGGTCCGATTTTATTTGTATCATTGGGGCCTTAATTTGTCAACTGAATCATAATTGAAAGTACTTAATTTCTTGAAACTAGTACCAAACCGTTCTCTTAAAAAGCTGGACCAAACCATATAGTTTTGACCAGTTCAAATCAATTCACAATTTAACCGATTTTTTTTAACACCTCCAATGTCATTAATGCCTGTGTATCACAGAGGCTGATATATGTGTGTGTATATATATATATATATATAGAGAGAGAGAGAGAGAGAGAGAGATTTGAAAAGTGGAGCATGATATTGGACA